AAGTGGAAAGCGTATTATGAGAACCCGTTTTCTTCCCAACCACACATCCCCTGATCAGCGGAGATGGAGTGGGGTTTGGCCCTACCGCAGTGACTGGTTCGTTTGAACACAGCCCCGTCTCCCTCGCACGAAAGAGCTCGCTGGAGTTAGAACGGGTCACCGGAATTGGAACTTCAGAAGGGAATTGCGGCGCCCCAGGAATGGGTGTGGGCTCGCAATGGCTACTCGAAGGGACAACCCTTCCACTTGTAACACCCACAATTTCCTTACTAAATCCCCCACCCAAAACAATATGAGAATCCCCAATTGAATGAAATTCAAAACGAACACTGAGTAAATCATCTGAACAGGGTTTGAATCGATTTTTTCGCACCTTTGTATGGGGTTTCTCCCCGCGGTCACCCGACCATGGTGGAGGTTCCAGGGAGGAACCCCTGATCCTCCTGCGCCCTCGTTGCAGAGCGGGGGCACCCTGCAAGGCCCATGCGCCAGGTTGCTGAAGCTTCAAGGAACCCTGGGGAGCACGGCCCCTGGCGGCAGCGCCTCCGCTGGAATGCTGGAGATCTGCAGCACCGGAGGAGGCCGGATGTTGAGCCTTGACAGGGAGCTTGATTTGAATCATGCCCATCTCGCCGCCTGCCTTGGGTCCGACGATTCCGCGTCCTGGATCGCCCAGAAGATGAACTCGAAGTCCAGGCCTCCATCATCGCCCGCAAAGCGAGCGCGCTCCTCGAACGTCGCTCGACGCAGGATCTCCATGAAGATCTCGGGCCACTTGGAGCGATTCGGGAATCTCTCCTTCACCACCCGTCGCATCTCCGCCAGCACTTCCGGCGATGACGCATCGATCTCCGGGAGTGTCGCCACCGGCGGCGGTGGTTTGGGCGGAGCCGCCACCTGATGCGCGTGTCGCAGTCGCCGCGCCCGCGCCCCGCGTCGCGCTCCTCCCACCATCTCGCTCGCCGGATCTTGGTAGGTGGAGAATCGCCTTTCCCTCTCCCTCGCTCCATAATTCAGGGTCGGTCGGTCGTCAAAGACAACAATCATGTGCTTCTGAAGAAATAAGGTGGGATTCAGCGTCACTTCCGGTTCACCTTTCAATAACAAGCAGATCAGTATGCCGCCAAGAGAGCAATTTGCAGTTACAGATCAGAATACTCAACAACTTCAGTTGTTTATATATTCAGAAGACTTGCAGATAATCTGCTTGCTCGGAAGAACATACTGTATTTCTGAATCTCAAAGAGAAATCATTATAGTAATAAACTAGAGGGTGCACCCGCGCATTTGCGCGGCTAGATGTTATTATTATTGTTGTTTCTATTGAATCTAAAATTATATTTTATTGGAAGCAATAAATATTTTTAATCATGTTTCATCATGTGTGAATGATATCGAGTCATTTCAAGAAGATATGCTATAAATATCAGAATTTAAAACTTCCAATGCCTCAATGGGTTGCTACTGGAAAATGCAAGTCCCTCTTTTATATTTTGTCAAAAAAATGGTATCGCGTGGATATGACATCACAAATAAAGGTTATGGCGTGGATATGCAATCCTCTTCTTAGCCAATATATGAGCGGAGTCAGAATGCCCAAACCCTGTTCTTTGGACCCCACCAATCCTATTTCCTGGGAGGGACTAAAAACAGGTAAGTTTCTTCTTCCCCGAACTCCTCAAATCCATGCCCGATTCTCTAACATACCTCGCAGAATTGAGGCATTTTCTCATGTGTATCTGTCCCCAAGGACACCATAGGAAGTGAATGATGGGAAGTCATGAACCCCTGCCGCTGCATGGGCTAGCTATTTTGTAGAACAGGAAATATAGCAAGGTTATTTCAGTACCAATATTTGTATATGAAAAAAACATTAGAACTCAAATTGCAGAAAACCATGAGAACTTATTTTATTAGTAATCAAAGCATGCAAGTTCACCTAATTCTTCTACGCTTGTGGCCCCAACCTTCTGCTAAGATCCACACCAGAATTTTGAAGTACTTAAATGCTTAAGAAATTTTCACGCGTGTTATTTGTGTGACTAAATAGCAAAGGGTTTTTCCAAAACTAATTTGCAGCCCATTTTAAAGATTTTTCTATTAACTGAAACCTACAATCCTTCATATTTCCCTGCTATGCAATCACAAAACATTGGTACAAATTTAGCATGTTGGATCAGATCAGACATGACAACAGTTGTGAAAATACGATGAAAAATAGAAATGTACTTTGAGAAAGGGTTTCAAGTTGTAAATGGCCTTCTTTTTATTTTATTGAAGGAATGACATAGGGAAACACATGCCCATTGTTCCAAATCGTGCTGATGACGACATTCATTGACAGAAAGCTATTATAAATGCAACTGTTCCATGGAATTCAACAATCCGATTATGAAATATTCGGTGATTTGGCATACATCTTAAGGTCGGGAAAAACAATAATCCTCCTCCTTCAAGGGCATAATACATGGATCTGAAGGTATACTCCCACTAAATGGTCTCTGGTCTGCACTTAGCTATCCTATCTGTATCGCAAAAAAATTACACAATGAAAATAAGTTACAATTTTTTTAAATAGCATACTAATAAGCATATCAAATATGCAGGAGGCATGTTGAGTACATCTTTTCCACATCAATGTAGCTGTAGGGGTTAAAAATTTGGATGCTTTGATTTAGAAATATAAATAACAGGACATTTCACAACATGTAAAAATGACAAAAAAATCCTCCTTTTGCATTATGTAGGTTCTCGTAGAGATGCATGTCCTAATAACCATTTAAAATAAAAATATCCACATATTCTTGCAATCCTCTTCTTGTTGTTATAGATAGATACTACAACACCACCAAATTCCATGAGCCTATTGGTAAGTATGACATTGTTAAGATTAAATGTATGCATACCTATTTATGGTACAATATGACAATGGTAAGCAGAACATCGTTTCCAATACTTAACTTCACATTATCATGACATCGCATTGGCACCAGCTATAGGACAAAAGATACAATTCAAATGTCAGCTCCTCTAGCAGCATAACATATCCAAGCTCAATGGTAACAACAGCCCGTGATATTTGGACGTGCATAAAAATTACTCCCTCCGTTTCTAAATATAAGTCTTTTTAGAGATTCCACTATGAACTACATACGGAGCAAAATGAGTGAATCTACACTCTAAAATATGACTATATACATCCGTATGCAGTTTGTAGTGGAATCTCTAAAAAGACTTATATTTAGGAATGGAGGGAGTAGATTATTTCTCTCTTTCTTACGTAACATCACATACCAGTCGTAGCAGAATGAAAGACTAAATTTTGTAGGTGGGCAAAACAGTACATACCACAGGCGATCTTATCTTAAGGTCAGAAAAAACAATGTATGCTCTTGCCATCTCTCACACTTGACGATCATATCTAACAATTACTTCTGACTGCACATTATGGATGTCTTCTCCCTAGAATATATTCTCACAGTGATTGTCTTCTTATATATCTGTGTGATCCATATAATCAGAGCAACATCGAGGAGTCCAAGCTGGTGCAGAAATTCTCCTCCAACTCCATCTTACAACCCTGATACTTTTTTTTTTGCTTAGCTTGGATTTTTCTTCGAGCACTTAGGGAACAATTCAGAGGAACAATAAGAGCAGAGCACCTAAAGAACAAATCAGAGTAAACCATGAGAGAAGAGGCCACTCAATCTACTACAGGGAATCGAGTCAATATTAACTTCTGAATGAATAAAAGTGTATTAGATTTAGATCAGCAATTCAACGGTAAAAAACTAACACTGATACAACAAATTACTCCACTAATAATCACCTGACGTAGATGGATGTTGATATGCACGGCCATCAAGATCAGGTTGTACACACTGCGTGATCTTAGACATGTATCTAGAAACTTTGATTGCCAAGTAACAAACGGAAGAACCTGACATCACAAAATAAATGTTTCATCAACGCTAGCCAGTGGCCCAGTGCCAATTGGATAATTTCAAATCAAATTAGGCAGGTGAAAAGAAGTTACACTCCCTTGGGAGAAACAAAAAAGGGTGGACGGCGACTGTAACCTTGCTGATGATGCTGATAGTCCAGCTATCCTGTCGTTGATTCAGCGGCGGCGACATGGGGAGACGGTGCTGCGCTCGGTTGGGGGAGGCGAAGGAGGGAAGTAACAACTGCCGAGGAGGTCACGCCTGCGACTCCGCATGAATACTCACTGATGATGCTCATAGTCCAGCTATCCCGTCGTTGATTTAGCGGCGGCGACACGGGAGACGGTGTTGGGCTCGGTTGGAGGAGGCGAAGGAGGGAACTGACGACTGCCGAGGAGGTTACGGCTACGACCCCGCATGAATCTTCTTTCTTTTTGCCTTTTTGCGGGGAGACAATGGAATTACCTTTTTTTTTGGAAGGTCCAATGGAATTACTCCTACCTGGGTAACAATGGAATCTCCTCCAATAAGCCGTGAGGATGTTGCCTCAGTTGCAATCCACGTTATCTCTTTCTTTTTTGCGTACAGAGATCAGTTTTCTTTTTATGGCAAGGGATATGATTTCTTTTGTGAGCAGGATTCGGGAACAATCAGAAATCTTGTCCTACCTGAAGCAGGACTTGCCAATCACAAACTTATTTTTTACCAGAATCACGAACTATTTTTATTTACGATAGCATGGTAGAGTTGTACTTTTTTTTTGTTCGCTTAGGTTTTGCGTACATGCCGATCCAACATCCCTCTCTTTTTCTTAGTTGGCTCGTTCCAACTTTTTATTTATGCACCTTGCACGTGTTGGCTGCACATATATAACTTTTTTCACGTAACGTAATATCTTTTAATCTCAGCCGTAAGTATTATTGATCAACGATGTATATTATCTTAGCTTATGTGGAAGAACGTGGTGTCTTATTTGTCTTCTATATTAAGTATATAATAGATGAGCTCTACAAGTTACAGAATTTCTAGAGAACCACAATACTGCTCGCCGCGAGCTCACAGACGAGAGCCGTGGGGCGCCTCGAACCCCAGGCTCGCCGCGGTCACCGGCTTCAGCAGGCTCTCCGGGCCGGCCTCGATCACCTCAACCAGCCGCGGCCACAGCCGCGTGCCGCCTACGAACCACGACCCGTCCCCGCCCGGGCAGGGCACGACCGTCACCGAGGCCGACCCCAGCCGGCCGTGCCGCAGCCACGGCAGGACCAGCCTCGGCTTCCCGAAGCCCAGGTCCCCGTCGATGGCGAACGGGAGCAGGCCGGAGATCACCAGCGCCGGGCTGCCCAGGCCGAGGTTCACCGCCTCCGTCCACTTCCCGCCGTCCTTGTACGCCGTCTTGTTCACCTCCACCCAGTCCACCAGCTCCTGGAACCTGCCCCTGGTCATCACCGACGCCATGGCCGCGCGCGCGGCGGCCGCCACGTCGTGCAGCGGCGCGCGCAGCAGCCCCGCCACGCTCGCCTCGCGTGACGTGTAGGTGACCACGTTCCCCATGTACATGTCCAGCGCGCCCTCCGACGGCTCCACGCACTTCCGGCCGTCGACGATCCACGCCATCCGGCAGTTCGGGTCGGAGTCGCCGACCGCACGGGCCAGGAGTTTCCAGACGTGCGCGCACAGCGCCACGAAGCGCGAGGCGCGGCGACCATCGCCGGACGACGCCGCGATCTGGAGCCCGGCGAGGTCGGCCGCGTCGATGCGGTACAGGCGCCGCTCCATGGCCGCGGCCAGGAGGGGATTGATCATGGTCGCCGGCGTGAACCTCGCGAACTCCGCGTCCAGCGACGGGCTATACACCGGCGGCGACCGCGGGGGGAGCAGGGAGGACCGGTCGAGCAGCGGCCCGCGGGAGAGCCCCCCGCCGCCGGCGCGGACCATCTCCGCGAGGCTGTTGAGCAGCAGGATGAACGCCCGGCCGTCGGCGAGGAGGTGGTTGGTGGCAACGGTCAGCGCGAACCCGCCGCACGCGAACCGGACCACCTGCAGCGACAGCGCGAGCCCAGCGTCGAACGGGATCTGGATCATGCCCAGGGACCGGTCGACGCGCGCGAAGTCGACGGCGGCGAGGGGGACCCCGGCGGCGTCGGCGACGACGAGCTCGGCGCCGGCGTTGTCGCAGGCGACCTCGGGGACGTTGGTGTCCGGGTGGCGCACGACGCGGCCGGCGAAGGGGAAGAAGCGGGAGAGGTAGGCCGGGAGGGCCGCGCGGACGGCGGCGAGCACGGGGCCCAGGCCGCCAGGCGGGGGCGGGTAGATGCTGACGAGGTAGATGGGGAAGGGGCCGAGGACGAGGTCGAGGTTGGAGACGGCGTGGACGGCCGGGAAGCCCGGGGGAGGGTCGGAGGCCGGCACCAGCTCCCGGGAGGCGATCCGCAGGTCGAAGCGCTCCAGCGGCATCTCGCCGGGCGGCTGGAGCGGAGCTCGCGCCGAGGCGGCCGGCAGGTCCAGCTCTGCGTCTGCGTCTGCGTCAGCGGTGACTCCGCTCTGCATAAAAAATGTTATCTAGAGTATAGTGACTAAGCGTGATCTTCAAGTGTAATATAGTGGGAATTTTGTGGCGTCCGTTGGGCCACGCCATGACCATGAGCGCAGGATGATACGCTAGCAAGCGAGCGTATTATCAGTGTCGCTACGATAATCGGAAAAGTAGAACAGCATCAGCCACGTAATGGAATAAAGTGATCGTTGGAGATGCGATCAGCTCTGTTCGCTTGCCTCTTGCTGCAGATGGTGACACCGATTGCCGTCGATCTGATCGTTTCACTTTGGAGTTTTCTACCCTGGCATGTGGACAGAGACACACGAACACGCACCGCACCTTGCACACACTATTGCCGTGTTTGCTAGCTCATACAGCCAACCAGATCCGCACGGTGAAATTTTGGTCCGTTTGATTGCTGGTGTAGCATCAAGATCTCAGCACACCCTATGTTTAAAACCCCTGAGAAGGAACACTCGAATCGGCCTTTTTTTTACTGCAAGGGCCGAATGATGCAACTCGAGGCACGTGGGTGGCAAAGGTGCACACGAGAAGCCAGGCTTGAGATGAACGCGTTGTTTCGCGAAGCACTGCCATAACTACGCTCACCTTCTCTCGCCGCTCTCTCTACACTCTTACACCGGCGGCGACAAGCGCGAGATTTGGACGACGAGCAGCGGCGGCGATAACTGCAGCAAAGAACTGGACGGTGAGCACTGGCGTAGATCACTGGCTTCACCACCTCAACGGTAGGCGTTCGGCAATGGCGGTAAGCCCTCTGCCCTCACACACGATTTGTTGGTCACGTTTTATTTCCGCATTCGATTCTCGCAGTAGGGGTCCAATCTGCCTCTTAGATTCACTAGTAGAAAACAGGGCTTTGGTTTGGGCCTGGCCAGCCCATTAGTCCCGGTTCTTTACAAACCGGGACCCATGGGAGGCATTAGACCCGGTTCATGAGCCCGGGGGGCGGCCGGGGCCTCATGGGCATTGGTCCCGATTCGTCTGAACCCATTTATCCCGGTTAGTCTGGACCCATTTGTCCCGGTTCTCGGCACGAACATGGACCAATGCGCCGCGCTCCTGGCCCACAACCATTGGTACCGGTTCGTTCCTTGAACCGGTATAGAAGGGTGAATTTAGTCCCGGTTCATGCCACGAATCGGGACAAATAATTTGCCTATATATACCTATCGCCGCGGCAGAGCACTCCACAGTGCTCTGTTTTTTTTGGCCGGCGAGGGGATGGCATTTGGGTGCTCTAGCTCACCTCCTATGCACATGAGGTGTTCGATAAAATGCCCGAGCCACACTAGTTAAGCTTTCTCCTCTCGAAGCTCGACCTCGGAGCTCCATTTTTCCCGAGATTTGTCTAGATTTAGCGGTCCGTCACGCCCCGTCCCCGTTTTCACCGCCGTTGATCCCCCACGCCGATCTCGTCGCAGGCACCACCGTGGTGAGCCTCTTGTTCTTATCTTCTTTCTGATTTTCTTATTTTAGATAGATACTTGTCTGATTTTCTTACTTTAGATAGATACTTGTCTGATTTTCTTACTTTTGACACACATAATTATATATAATGCACGCAGATGAACCGACAATGGATGTATGGTGACAGACACACCTCCGAGTACATTAAGGGCATGCATAATTTTCTCGAAGTGGCTGAGGCAAACAAGCAGAATGGTTTTATGTGTTATCCATGCCCTAAATGTGGGAATACGAAGTCTTACTCTGACAGGAAAATCCTTCACACCCACCTGCTTTACAAGGGATTCATGCCACACTATAATGTTTGGACGAGGCACAGAGAAATAGGGGTTATGATGAAAGACGGCGAAGAAGAAGAGGACGATGACAACTATGTGCCCCCTAAATACGGTGATGCTGCAACGGGGGGAGCTGCTGCAGATCAAGAGGAACCAGACGATGTGCCCGATGATGCTGCAATGGGGGAAGCTGCTGAAGATCAAGAGGAACCAAACGATGTACCCGATGATGAAGATCTCCGTCGGGTCATTGTCAATGCAAGGACGCAATGCGAAAGTCAAAAGGAGAAGCTGAAGTTCGATCACATGTTAGAGGATCACAAAAAAGGGTTGTACCCCAATTGCGAAGATGGCAACACAAAGTTGGGTACCGTACTGGAATTGCTGCAGTGGAAGGCAGAGAATGTTGTGCCTGACAAAGGATTTGAGAAGCTACTGAAAATATTGAAGAAGAAACTTCCAAAGGATAACGAATTGCCCGACAGTACGTACGCAGCAAAGAAGGTCGTATGCCCTCTAGGATTGGAGGTGCAGAAGATACATGCATGCCCTAATGACTGCATCCTCTACCGCGGTGCGTACGAGGATTTGAACGCATGCCCGGTATGCGGTGCATTGCGGTATAAGATCAGACGAGATGACCCTGGTGATGTTGACGGCGAGCCCCACAGGAAGAGGGTTCTTGTGAAGGTGATGTGGTATGCTCCTATAATACCACAGTTGAAATGACTATTCAGAAACAAAGAGCATGCCAAGTTGATGCGATGGCACAGTGAGGACCGTAAGAAAGATGGGATGTTGAGGGCGCCCGCTGACGTGTCGCAGTGGAGAAAAATCGAGAGAGAGTACTGGGCTGAGTTTGCACGTGATCCAAGGAACATATGGTTTGGTTTAAGCATGGATGGCATTAATCCTTTCGGGGAGCAGAGCAGCAATCACAACACCTGGCCCGTGACTCTATGTATGTATAACCTTCCTCCTTGGATGTGAATGAAGCGGAAGTTCATTATGATGCCAGTTCTCATCCAAGGCCCTGAGCAACCCGGCAACGACATTGATGTGTACCTAAGGCCATTAGTTGAAGAACTTTTGCAGCTGTGGAATGGAAACGGTGTACGTGCGTGGGATGAGCACAGACAGGAGGAATTTAACCTGCACGTGTTGCTATTTGTAATCATCAACGATTGGCCCGCTCTCAGTATCCTTTCAGGACAGACAAACAAGGGATACCACGCATGCACGCACTGTTTAGCTCACACCGAAAGTATATACCTGGACAAATGCAGGAAGAATGTGTACCTGGGCCATCGTCGATTTCTTCCGACCAACCATCAATGTCGAAAGAAAGGCAAGCATTTCAAAGGCAAGGCAGATCACCGGAAGAAGCCCGCCATGCGTACCGGTGATCACGTACTTGCTATGTTCAATGATTTACACGTAATCTTTGGAAAGGGTCCCGGCGGGCTAGCTGTTCCATGTGACGCTGAGGGACACGCACCCATGTGGAAGAAGAAATCTATATTTTGGGACCTACCCTACTGGAAAGACCTAGAGGTTCGCTCTTCGATCGATGTGATGCACGTGATGAAGAACCTTTGCGTGAACCTGCTAGGCTTCTTGGGCGTGTATGGGAAGACAAAAGATACAACTGAGGCACGGGAGGACCTGCAACGTTTGCACAAAAAAGACGGCATGCCTCCAAAGCAGTATGAAGTTCCTGCCAGCTACGCTCTTACCAAAGAAGAGAAGGAAATCTTCTTTGAATGCCTGCTTAGTATGAAGGTCCCGACTGGCTTCTCGTCGAATATAAAGGGAATAATAAATATGCCAGAGAAAAAGTTCCAGAACCTAAAGTCTCATGACTGGCACGTGATTATGACGCAAGTGCTTCCGGTTGCATTGAGGGGGCTTCTATCGGAAAACGTCCGATTAGCAAGTGTGAAGCTATGTGCATTCCTGAATGCAATCTCTCAGAAGGTGATCTATCCAGAAATCATACCAAGGCTAAGGAGTGATGTGGTGCAATGTCTTGTCAGTTTCGAGCTGGTGTTCCCACCATCCTTCTTCAATATCATGACACACGTACTAGTTCATCTAGTGGACGAGATTGTCATTCTGGGCCCCGTATTTCTACACAATATGTACCCCTTTGAGAGGTTCATGGGTGTCCTAAAGAAATATGTCCGTAACCGCGCTAGGCCAGAAGGAAGCATCTCCATGGGCCATCAAACAGAGGATGTCATTGGGTTTTATGTTGACTTCATTCCTGACCTTAAGAAGATAGGTCTCCCTGAATCGCGGTATGAGGGAAGACTGACTGGAAAAGGCACGCTTGGAGGGGACTCAATAATATGCAGGGACGGATATTTTTGGTCTCAAGCACACTACACAGTTCTACAGAACACTACCTTGGTAACCCCGTATGTCGATCAACACAAGAACAGTCTGCTCTCCAAACACCCGGAGAAGTGCGACGACTGGACTACATGTGAACACATCAGGACTTTCATCAGTTGGTTGGAAACACGTCTCAGAGGTGACAACACTGTTTGTGATGAGCTGTACTCATTATCCAGGGGACCATCTTCGACTGTATTGACTTACAAAGGATACGAGATAAATGGGAATACATTTTACACGATCGCCCAAGATCAAAGAGCACCAACCAAAACATCGGTGTCCGCTTTGATGCAGCAACCGAGACGGGAAAGGACACATATTATGGTTACATAGTGGACATCTGAGAACTTGACTATGGAGTCGATTTTAAGGTCCCTTTGTTTAAATGCAAATGGGTGAATCTGTCAGGAGGCGGGGTACAGGTAGGCCCACAGTACGGAATGACAACAGTGGATCTGAACAATCTTGGGTACACTGACGAACCGTTCGTCCTAGCCAATGATGTGGCACAGGTTATCTATGTGAAGGACATGTCTACCAAACCGAGAAAAAGAAAAGATAAGGAAGCGAATACATCATACGATGAGCCAAAGCGCCGCATAGTTCTTTCAGGAAAAAGGGGCATCGTGGGAGTGAAGGGCAAGACAGACATGTCCGAAGATTATGAAAAGTTTCATGAAATTCCCCCCTTCAAAGTCAAGGCTGACCCAAGCATCCTGATAAATGATGAAGATTATCCATGGTTACGA